TGAAGTCATCTTACTTTATTCTTACACACTGCACCTTTAATGCTGTCAATTCAAATGTACATTTAAAATCTCACTTACTGAAATATTTACATGAAATATTTCCTACCAGACAATAATTTCTGTTTTATTTTAACCCTTTGATGCATAATGGTCACTACAGTGGACAGGTACTCAAAATTGTTATTTATTTGTTTTTGCTACTAAGCACAGCTGTTGAAGACTTTATTGCATTTGAGCTCCTCCATTTGGACTTCAGTAAGTCAAGCCAACATATTTCATGCTCAGAATGCATGCTGCCCACTGAGGTGGACATGTAATAAATTATTTGTAAATTATAAAATTTTACAAAAAATATTTGTTGAAATTTGTTTCATTCACACCTAAAGACGAATTTAAAAAATTGTTAAAAAAAATCATGGTTGAAGATTTCATAATTCATGCATCAAAGGGTTAATAATCCAGTTTTCTGTATTTTTTAAATAAAAATTTATCCAAACAGTAAAATAGAAATTACAAATAGAGCTAAAATGACTTTTCTAGTCACAGTTAAGAACTGCTTTTAAAATCAAGTTTAAATGAATTAATACTATAAACATGAACTGTAACTGTTCACCTAAAAATGCTTTTTCATTCATAGTTTTAAACTTATTGCCTTTTAGCTCAAACGTTTCTAATTCTGACCGAAAAAACATCAAACATGACCGGTTGAACTAAACTCACTTTGCTGAAAGACTGAATAAACAACACAGTCAATCAAATATAGAGAATAAATGTTGTCTGTATGTAAAAAGCAACTGAAGACCTCGGATTAGGGTTTCACGACCCACACGGGGGTGCCGACCCACACGGTGCAAACCCCGCTTTAGACAATCCCCCAACAGATATGAGCCCATCATTAAGATAATCAGAAACTAACCCAGACCAGTGTTTACTGTTAATATATACTAACCCCACAGCCTGACCCAAAGCCAGCTGCAAACCTCACGCTCACAGATGTAATAAAAATGAACAAAACCAAATTTTATCCAGAGCAAAAAAGCGGAAGTACCTCTACTTCAGAACAGCTGATTAACAAATCTGACACCAAAAAGCCAAAAATTTACACCAAAAACCTCCAAATAAGCCAGCTTTTACCTTCGAGATGTTCCTCCTGGCTTTTGTTTGGGATTCCAGCTTTCTCTCCTGATTGAGATTGAGTTGATTAGCCCTCAGGTGGGCGGAGCTAAAACAGCAACGTCCAGAATGTTGACCTTTCTTACCAGCCTGTAAACTCCTGATCAGTTGTCTTTTCACAAAGATTTATCATTTAAACACCAAACAAAATGTGAGAAAGCATCTCAGTTTGTGGGACTCCCATCTAAATGTGTTTCTAATAAAAATGTACTTTTACTGGTGAGAGATACTTAATTTCACATCTGAATGAGGTCAATTTGATTGACTGATTGATTGATTAATTGAATGATTGATTGAAACATTTATTTGAACATAAGACAAAATATTTTTTTTAAATCTATGAACATAGTAGAAAAGAAAAGATGTACCAATAAAAAAGAAGTCTTTGTCCAAAGGGAGGTAAGTGCTTATTCAATCCCACCCCCTTGTCTCACATTACTAATTTACTTTACAAATTACCATCTATACCTACCTACCTACCTACCTACCTACCTACCTACCTACATACATACACACCTGCCTACCTTCGTACCTCTGTGTGTGCGCGTGTGTGTGTGTGTGTGTGTGTGTGTGTGTGTGTGTGTGTGTGTGTGTGATATCAATTTAAGCCTTATTTATTCATTCTTTATTTGACCAGGAAGGTCCCATTGAGATTAAAAACCTCATTTTTAAGGGAGTGCTGGGCAAAAGGCTGAAAAAATTACATTTACATTAATTTTAGCTACACAGACCTGTTATTTACAAAATTACAGAAGGCAGTTACAACACAGGGAATCTGTCTCAAGGACTCTCAGTGTGGGTTTTAAATTGTCCTTTTATACCCATTTATATAGTTTATCAGAAAAAAAGTTGATTTGGTGACTTGCTCTTTAACAACTCACATTCATCAAGAATCGAATAAGGCCACACACACACACACACACACACACACACACACCCACACACACACCCACACACACACACACACACACACACACACACACACACCAAATAGACCGACTGTTGCCATCACCAAAATTCCCTAACAATCACAGAGCTGCTGTGTTTGGCAGAATTCAGGGAGTCATGTTTATTTTTATTGTAAGGGGGGGGGGGGGGTGACCCAGGAACTTAGGGGGCATTGTGAAGGGCAATAGGCTCGTCAAACGTCACACAGTTAGCAAGCTTTTCCACTTTTACACATCCTTCATTTGGGGTAGATGAAGATAGAAGCAGCGGTCAGTGACACACCAGCTCCCAGCAACCCTAGTGATGAATAAGAAGTATGAATTAAATATTTAAATAACCTAGAGAATCAGCTGGTTTGTATTTGAATTAATGAATGAATTAATTAATGAACTCTGTTCAGACTGGGAGCTATTTATAGGACGGCAGGGTTAACGATGCCCCATTTTTACCCTCTCATCCACATGGGATCTACGTCCCAGACTTTGTGGTTTTGATCTCTGAAAAGAAAAGAAGAAAAAAAAAAACAGGAAAAGAAGCAAAAGCTGGAGAAACCGGGCTGGGAGGGAAAACTGGGATCCTACCAGTTAACGGAGCAGCGAGAGAAAGTTCAAAGAGCTGCAAACCAGGTCACTTAGTCTGCAACTTCTTCATCCCTGGTGTGATGCGTGCACACACACACACACACACACACACGCACGCACGCACGCACGCACGCACGCACACACACACACACACGCACGCACACACACACACACACACATTGCTCAGGCACACTAATGGAACCACTATCCAGATCCATCTACTGTACTTCCTGTCAGAGAAGTGAGTTACTGACTTGTTTGTGATCTCAGTGGGGAAAACTCACTCAGTCATAAAAATAAACAAATACAAAATCTGCACAGAAACACAACAAACACATATTTAAATATACGGCATTTACATCATCATGTTTGTTTAAAAGTGAAAACATTAACTTGTTTCTGATTCAGACTCCTTTTCCTCTGCTCTCGTGCATTTTACTCACAAGTGTTTACCCACGATGCATAAAAAAGCCTCTCCTCTCTGGAGAACAGCTGATCGCTCTGGGTCTGAAGCACCTGAGATGCTTTTCAGCAAACAGAAATAGGAAAAAACTTCAGCTCTAAGAATAGTGTGAATGTCAAAGAGCAAATCCTCCCAGATAAACTTTAAAAATGATGTTAAAATATTAGCAGCGGGACTATCAAACCACAAAGGTAGATAACAAGATCAAACGTCTCTAAACACAAATAAAGTAAAAAAATATAGATAAATCACATATTTGAAGGTTTGACCTATGAATCAACAAAAACCTTAAAATACCAGCAGTTTTCTTTTTGTTTTCAGTCTGAATAATAACATCCCACTTGTTACCATGGAGAGGGCTGGACCTATGAGGCATTCTGCGGCCAGCCACTAGAGGGCGTTTCTTTCATTTTGCATCATATGATAAATGACCCGCACTCGTATAGCGCCTCTCAGAGTAAGGACTCCAGCGCTTTACACTACAGTGTATCATTCCTCCATTCACACACTGATGGTGATGAGCTACGATGTAGCCACAGCTGCCCTGGGGCGCACTGACAGAGGCGAGGCTGCCGAGCACAGGCGCCACCGGTCCCTCCGGCCACCACCAGCAGGCAAGGCGGGTTAAGTGTCTTGCCCAAGGACACAACAGCAGAATTCTCTGTCCGGAGCCGGGATCAAACCTGCAACCTTACGATTACTGGACAACCCGCGCAACGCAACCTGTTGAACAACTGCTGCCCCCCATATATGAGTTATTATTTCAGTGACTACGACACATGCCCATGCCTGTAATTTATGACAATAATGTATTAATAAAAAGAAATTTCAGTCTGAAAACAAGATACAACTTTTTTTTTAATCAGAAATTAAGAAAAACAGAAAAACCTCCTCCTGCTTTAAAAAGTGGTTTATTCATTATGCCTCCCTGAATAACCAGTGTCACTTTTCTATGAAACACATACATGTTGTGCAATCTTGAGATACACCATTTGTGCTCGATCCGGCTTTAAAAACTGGTCCAAGTGATGTGAAACTACAAACCCGGTCAATTAAGCTTGTTCTTAAATGTCAACAGAGACTAATGTTCAATTAATTTAAGCCAAATTGTTCATTTTAAGCTACTTTTATACTTAAAATGAACAATTTAAACCTAGAAAAAGAAGGTTTATACGTTTTACACTTACTGAACCCAAAAGGCTGGAATCATTTACCCACAATGCAACAGCAGCACGTCATTCATCCGATTAGGTCTCTGGTTTCACTTCAGAATTCATCCAAACTGCAGCTGAGGAGAAAAGTTTCATCAAGTTAAAGACAAAAGATTATGACCACCTCACCACTGTTGAGCAGCTCAGGGCGTGGGCGAAGGTTTTGGGCGTCTGAAGAAACAGGCTGATGGGCTGGTTTCTGTTCTTCCTACGGGTGAGTGAAACTGGGAGAGAGGTTCCTTATACCAGTGAGAGATTTGTGATTATCTAAAGTTTATGTTTCATAGTTTACTGAACTGGTGTTCTACATGGTCGTAGCTCCATCTAGTGGATGGACTTTGTAAGTACACCGGGAAGCAAAGGACCGCTCGTTGCTGCAGAAATACTTATTCTGGTTGCTTTCAGGAACTTTTCCAAAATTCCTCCAACAGCTCAGGTGATGAAGCAGAAAGGTTGGACGTGCCCACCTGTCCCTGAGCCTGAGACCGGTCAGGGTGGCTCCGCCTCTCGCCTGCTGGAGCTCCCTGAGACCCTTACTGGAGGTGCAGAGAAATTAATATTGCAAATATAAAAACTGTTACTTGTTTTTAAACGTGATCTGATGAGTAAAAAAACAATCCAAAGTCACATTTACACATTTTTATTGTAAAGGTGGCTTCTTACAAAACGGTCGTGAAAAATAAAAAGAGCCCCGAAAAAAAAAAAACAGCTACAGAGAACCACTTTTTTTTATCCAACAAGAGTGCTCAAACCGTTACAGGTCACAGGGCAACGCAATAAAAACAAAACATGAGAATAAAACGTGTAGAGAGCGCCCAGAAACATTTACTGCAGGTTGAGTTTTTATCCAGGAAAGACTCGTGGATTCTCACAGGCCACCGTCGTGTTGTTTTAGGAAAAGCTCTGGTTGATCAGCTCTGAGAGCATAACTACAGCTGATAAAGCAGAATACCCAAGACTGCACATGCTAAAGTAAAACCCTCCGACTGAAAGCTACCGCAGGCTTATGCTACATCGGCTGAAACGACAGAACAGGATATAAATACCAGCTCCAAAGGCAGAAAACGTTTAACAGTTAAACGTGTTCATCGGGGAAAGAAGGTTTGAGTTATCACAGGTAGGAGAAGTAACGAGGCTTCCTGTTTCACTAAAACAGCAAAACAATAAAGTCTGTTTCTCCTCAATCCGCTGAAACCATCGGTCGTTTCATTCCCTACATCAGGATTAGCGCTGATCATGTGGAAGCAGCAGATCTGAGATAAAACTAACTTTAAAACTGAAACGGCCCGCTGATGCAGAATCAGAGCCAAACCGGTTTAATCCGGTCTGAAATCCAACATCCGTTTAACCAAACAAACATTTAAACATCTGGATGTTTTTACAGGAATAAAAATAGCATCAAAATTTATTTTCTTTTTCGTTTCTCAGTTTCAAACGTGAGCCAGGCCTTCAGACTGCACCGGAAACTCAACAAATTCGCTGTTTCTAAGTTGTTAGTGTGTTTAATGTTCCTTCTTTCCTTTTTTATCTTAATGTGCAACAAATAAAAGTTATTCTAATTCTCTATAAAAGCTTCACTAAACATTTAATCCACTTTCCTCTGATTTAGTGTGAAACTAACAAAAAGTCAGTTCCCACCATCCTTTCATTTAAAAGTGATCTCACGCCTCCTGTCTGTAACTCAGCAGCGCCCCCTAGCAGGAATGATTGTTGCAGACACGGATCTCCCTCCGGTCCTTACAGCTGCCCTTAGCCCTTTTCTTGGCCGTCCTGAAGCGCTCCTGCATCCCTCCTCCACACGGTTTAGTGCAGCCCGTCCAGCTGGTCCACGGCTGCATCCGACAGCCCGCGGGCCCTCCGGCACCGCCGGTACCTCTGGTGGCTCCGTTACCTGAGCCAAAAACAAACAGCAGAGGAGGCTGCAGACCAAACAAACAGCTGCACATGCAGAGCGCTGCATTACCCCTCCTTTCCACCGGAGCCGTCAGCAGCACGTCGTAGCTGCTGATAGGAACCGCTATGGTCAACAGAACCTTTTCCACTGGAGCCGTCAGCAGCGCGAGTCGGCCGCATCTCAGGAGCAGCATGTCGCGGCCCTTACGCGCCGGTTCTATTTTCTACGCGCTACGCCTCTGAAACGGGTCAAGGTCAACATTTTTGGGGAAGGAAAGACAGGAAATCGGACGCGGAAACGGAGCGAAGCTTCCCGAGATTTTCAGAATACAGAAAATGTACTGCCTTCCGGTTGCTTTACTTAAAAAAAAAGTTATCACCTAGCTAGCGGTCTCCTTGGTTTTTCCATGATGGACGATGAATTGGGATATTCCCTGACTTAACATAAACGTATTGGCGATTATAAAACGGACAGAACATAAAACACAAACCTTTTGGAGCCATGTTGTAGTTTTCTCCTGCTTGTTGTTGTGTTTACTGATGAAGTCACGCGTGATTTTGCTAATGTCGCGTGACTTTGTGCTCTGTCGGTGACAGCTGCTCCCCTGCCAGTGTTGCCAACTTAGCGACTTTGTCGCCATTTCTAACGACTTTTCAGACCCCCTTAACGACTTTTTTCAAAAAGGCGCCTAGCGACTAATCTGGCGACATTTCTGACCCCCCTCAGCTACTTTGACTACAACTTTGTAGCCGACTTTACCTGCAGATTAGCGAGGCATCTGAAGCGACAGGACCCTCCAGAGGATCAGAAAGAAAATAATCTGCGCATGTGCGTGCAGCATGATCACGCTACCCCCGTTGACCAATCAAACCTTTTGTGGGTTTTCATAAGTCCATTATTTGAGATAGCCACCTGAGCTACATAAAGGGCGACCGCTCCTTCCAACATCCTGCCGCATTTCGACAGCTGAGCTCGGCTGGCACTGGCAGGCAGCGTCACACTCACACATGGCTTCTCGCACCACTTGTGGTGCATTCAAGGAACACTGGAACTCTATGATGAGTTCAATAACGTAGCACATTTAAAACTTTTATAAAAAACAATAATACTGTAAGACAAACACCTCAGGTCATTGGCAGTTTGCACTTAACGTTTCTGAATACTAAATACGGCCGGCTTCTTTTTACACAAAAGTACTAAAAACAACTAAACCAAACAAAAACAATATATATATATATATTATCTTTTAGGTCAATATATAACACTGAATCACAACAGAAGACTACATCTCAAGGCACTTAAACTACGAGAAAATTCATTTGAATTCAATCATACAGCCATTCCTATCAATTTAATATTTTTGTGTTTAAGAGTTCCATTCTCTTCAGACAAAATAGAAATATTCCTTCTATTGTTTTGTGCCATCTTTCCTTGATGTTTTAAAGGCTGCTGTTTTGTATTCTATGTTTTTTATTTATTTTAATAAAATATTTAAAAAAATATTAAATAATTTTTTAAAATAAAATCACACGGGTTTTATTTGATTTACTTTACAAGACTGGTAACGTCATGACGCAAACGCTGTGACGTCATCACACAAACCAGATGACGTCATTGTGTAGTATGCAAATGAGCACGTGACGTCATCTGGTGACATCTAGCGACTTTTGGGGGGAACTTCAGCTACTTTCAGTCAAAAACAGTTGGCAACACTGTCCCCTGCTGCTTCGCGCGTCTCGTGGGAAGGGCCAAGCAGCAGCATACGCGAGCAAGACGTGCTGCTGCAGTAACTTGTAGAGGTGTGGATCTTCACTTGTCTCCCGATTCGATTACGATTATTGGGTCAACGATTCAATTCGATTCGATATCCCGATGCATCACGATTATTTCATATTGATTTGTTTTCATCGATAAATAGAAGATGTCAGATAATTGCTTTTTATTTTTTTATCAAAAACGTAATTGACAACCTGCCATCCCTCAAAAGCTCTCCATTCACAACAGGTTAGAACAAAACATTTTAAACATTTAAGAAGATTTAACAAAGTAAAACATCTGTTTCCTCGTTCAACACCACGCCTCAGGCTGAGAAAAACACGCTTTGCAAAAACTCACAAAATCTAAAAAAGTACTGAAAACCTACAGGACACATGATGTAATAATAAAATCCATAATGTGTTCATACATGTTTATGTTTATTTATTCAGCCGACGCTTTTTATCCAAAGTGACTTACAATTTATAACCTACAGGGCGTGTTGTGATCTGTGGGGGAAACCGGAGAACCCGGAGGAAACCCACGCATGCATGGGGAGAACACGCAACTCCACGCAGTTTCGAACCTGCAACCTTCGTGCTGCGAGGCAACAGTGCTAACCACTGCGCCACCATGCAGCCCATGATGTGTGTGTTTAATGTCTCTGAGAAGCTCTAGCGTCAGATGTTTATGCCACAGCTGAAGGGTGTCAGAAATAACACCAAATGAAATGTTTGACTTGTTTGTTATTTTATTTGAACCCAGTGGTTCGTTTCTGAAATGATGGAGGATGAATCAAGTTCTGTTTGATGCAGAAAATAATAAAGCATAAAACAAATTCTACACCTCCAATAATATTTAAGATGTGTGTTTTATTCTTTCTGATGATAACACCAGCAGAAGGCTGTGGGCTGGATTAGGATTAAATAACCCAGCTGATGGATCTCCTTCACTAACCAGCTAACTACAAACCTTTCCACTAACCTGTCCTGTGTCTCCCTCACCGTGTGACCCTCATGTCCATGCTGTCTCTGGAGGAGCAGATAGGAGACAAGACCTCCTGTAACCTAAAATGAACCAAAGCTTCCTCCCAGCTTCTCTTTAAGTTGAATTTAACATCAGTTTACCTTCATGAAACTAAAGAATAAAGTGGAACAAGAACCTCTATCTTCTATTTCTCTCTCCTTTTAACTTCTCCGTGTCCCTAAATAAGAGACAGACGATTACGGTGCAGCCGCCGTCACTGACCCCGCCCCCTCCACAAGACCGGATCTCCCAGCATCACAACACTCGGTCTGACTGAGCGCTTCCAGGAGAAACAATAATTAAATTATGAAAATAATAACGCGTGTTTGGAGGAGCGTCCTCCGATCCTCTCTCGTGTGTGAGCAGTCTCTCTCTCCCTCTCTCAGTCGCTGATCGAGCGAGCGGAGCGCGCCGCGTGACAACCCGCTCAATTAACATAATTCACGGCCCAAATCTAACAGAACCAGTCGGGCTGATTCGGTTCCGGTTCGGTCTCAGGTGACAACTCTAGCGCTCAGCCCTGCAGAACCACATTAAGGTGGAACCACTTGGTAAATGTGGAGGACGCTCACCCTGACAGATTTGGATGCTGCGCCGGTGCCGCCGTTAAAAAACAAAACTACATTCCACTATAATTGATTATGGCGTACTCTTCTACGATGCAGAATCGTCTATGTCTGCGTCCCGATTCATCGATTATTTTCCTCAGCTCTAGTAACTTGCTGCTGACGGCTCCGGTGGAAAGGAGGGGTTAGTCACATCTTCACCTCTCACCTCCTGCTTTTGTGCGACATTTCCTGATCTTGCATTTCTTCCTCTGGATGGTCTCGGGGCAGGCGCTGCCCCCGAACTGCGGCTCCAGTTTGATCATACGCGTGCGGATGGTGTGGCCTTTACCACAGGACTTGTTGCACTCCGACCAGTCGGACCAGTCTGAGACCATGCAGTCGACCGCTGGGGTAGAGGGGAGGACAGAGGAGAAAATCAGAGGTTGAATCCTAAAACAACACAATAAAGTTGTTTTTAAATGATGCAGCAAACTCAGCTGAACTTGCATTGTTTCTTCCTAAAGCAGTTTTCTGCAGCCAGACTCGTGATTCTCCGTCTACAGATCAGTGCACAGGCAGCAGCCCCACTGCTCACAACCAGACTTATACAATTCATAGCATTTCATGCTACGTCGGGCGTCACAGGTAAAAAAAAAAACTTACATCCAGTTCTGTTTTGGTCACGAAATCAGAAAAAAAGGCTTTTCTAAAGGTGATTTGATAGTACAGCTCATTTCCCATCTCTTATTCCAGCTTCTGTCATTTCCTTTCCCACGATGACAAATGAGACTACATAACCATGTTCTGAGGGACTAATGGAGGGGACACGTTAAATAATTACTGAAAGGGTTTGCGGGCAAGAAGAATAAATCTTTATGACGTTGCAGGTTAGGAGGAGGTTAGGACCCAAGATGCAGATAACACCAGATGGCACGAGGCAGGAGTGGTTTAAAAGTAAAATCCTTTTTATTAGGATGAGGAACCAAAAAATCCAGAAAGGGCAGGAAGCCAAAAACCAAAGTCCTGAACACCAGGAGAACGAAAGCTCACATAGAGCACGAACCAAGAGACGAGGCACAAAAGCTCACATAGAGCACGAACCAAGAGACGAGGCACAAAAGCTCACATAGAGCACAAAACAACGCTGCCACAAAAAAATGGACTGACAAGACACTGAGACACAGACAGGGCTTTATATACGGGGGCATGATGGGAGGCAGATGGGCTGCAGGTGTGTGAGGAGAGAACCAGGTGAAAACAATAAACTAATCAGGGAGGAAACTAACATGACCTAAGAGTAAAACCTAAAGACAAGAAAAGCAGCAACATAACTAATATTCTAAAGGGAAGGAAAACTACAAACACCGGTGGGAAAAAACACACTAAAGGGACTAATAAAATGAAAAGCTGAAACTATAAAAACTGCGGAGGAGTGACTGGGGAAGACTTAAGGAACACAGGACCTGGGAGAGATGATCTGGAGGGCTGTAGATCTGGGAACACAGAAAGAGAAACTACAGGGGAGTGACTAAGGAGGACCACGGGGAGCACAGGACCTGGAGGGAGATACCTGGGGGGGAGGAAACCTAGAGGGGCTGCAGCTCTGGGAAATCATGAGGAAGACGTAGACAATGACACAAGAGGGTGCTAGGATACACAACAGGAGAACCTAGAGACGAATGGAGAACACAAGGAGACACATGAGGGCAGACGCAGACCATGACATTGTCTTTGGTTTATGAACACAGCAAAAGCTTTAGGCTACATGATTTATGCCTGGGAGGTGTGCTAGCTCCGTGTCCTGGAGAAATGCCAGACCAGAGCGGATTCCAACATGTTTATTCCCCAAACTGACGACATTCCCGATCACAATCGCAGACAGGACTGGTTTCTACCTTCATGTTTCAGCCCTTAGCCTTTAGCTTAGCAGCTCAGCTGGTTGTCTCAGCCCATGTCTAAACCCGTTTTAACCTCCTGTACCTGACGGACCCGGTAACGGCTCCGGAACTACTTCCGGTTTCAAAGTCGTTACTAAACCACGCTTAATATTCACCAATATACGCAAACTACATGTACACAACGGGAAGAAGCTAGTCTAAACAATAAAGACATTGTTTTACACCTCAGCAACACCTAATTCACACACTAAGCCTTTAAATCAACCAGAAGTAAAAAAACGCTAGCTTCACCTGAGGAAAACACAGTAGCAACAACAAAATATGATCCTATCCAGAAAGCCAGCCACGATTCTCTTCTTTAAAACAACACCAGTCTCATTTCTATACCATGAAAACTCACAAACATCAATCAGAGAACAACACAGCTCAACAGCATAGAGTCTGTCTTACCTTTGCTGATTTGTGATCATAATCCGTGTTCCGGTAAAAAAAAAAAAACAATCGATTTGTGTAATCAGCTCAGCAGCACGTGTCCTGACGAAGACCAGGAGGCTGGAGCACATTACACCGGTTTTAGAATCTTTGCATTGGCTCCCCGTGTGCTTCAGGATCTATTTTAAGGTTCTTCTGATGGTTTTTAAGTGTCTTAATGGTCTTGGACCTTCTTATCTCTCAGAACTGCTTTTACCATATGAACCCTCACGGCCTCCGCGCTCCTCTGGCGGGCATCTCCCAGCCATCCCTAAAGTCAGGACACACACTCACGGCAAGGCGTCCTTCCAGGATTAGGCCCTCGACTCTGGAACGAGCTGCCGGAGGACCTCAGGGCCGCAGAGAACATTCATGTTTTTAAGTCCAGGCTCAAGTCCCGCCTATTTAGGTTAGCTTTTATCTAATTATGTATTAGTTTTATTTCTCGTTTTACACGATTATATTTTATTACTGGCTTTGCATGTTTTATATGATTATATTTTAGCAGTTTCATTATTCAATAATATTATAATTTTACTGTCCATATGAATTTATTTATTACTTATTTTCTTACTTTTGTCATTTATGTTAGCTGTTTTATTTTCATGTTTTTACTCATTTGAATCCAGTGTTTCCTCTGTAGGGGCCCTCTGCCCCGGGGGCGGTGGTCGACTGTAGCTTCCTGGGCGCTCTACAGGTAGTGTTTGAGTGGAGGTGGGGGTCTATGCTTCCTCTCCTCTGAGCACCCTGACTAAAGCCTGGTTCATGCTTCTCCGTCAGCTCCGCAAGGGACAGACACGCACGGATTGACGGAAGCGTTTACCCCTCATGCTTCTCCGTCTCCTGGGGAGTGTTGCAAAGCAATTCCCCTCCAGGACAACAGAGGGCGTAGCACTGTTCTGTGGTATCCTGTCATGCATCGGCCCAAGATCGTGTGTTTATATTGTGTTTTTTCTGTATATAAGAGACTTTTAACACGGACATATTTGTCTCTCATTCTCCCACCTCTTCATGCGCTCCCCACCTCTAAACCCACGTTTCCTGTCACTTCCATCCACGAATAAAACGCTTGCTGCGTATCTTTTCACTCCTCCAATCACGGGAGAATTAAACGTTCATATTTTTAGAGTTTTTTCGCGAGGTATTCTTCAAGCTTCTCCGTGTCTGCCGCTTGTTATCTTCGGCTCTCTTTGCAATGGCGGCGCTGTAACCAACAGCGGCGTCCTGACCAATCACAAGCTTGCGTTGTCTGTCTCGACGGACGGATGTTTAGAAAAGAGAGCTCGACTCCGTCCGTCCTTGCGGAGCTCTCCGGCAGGCCCACAAGGACGGATAATGGCGTTGCGTGTCTCTGCACTGACGCAGACGGAGAAGCATGAATCAGGCTTTAGTGTGGAAGACCTGATGCTGCCGGGGCAGACGGCTCCTCTGATGGCATTTCCTTGCCTTACCTCACTCATCTGGACTCAGCCGAATGTACGTTTTTACTGATGTGTGTGTGTGTGTGTGTGTGTGTGTGTGCATATGTCTGTTAATGTTTTTAAACTGTTATGGGAATTTGGGGTCATTTTGTAAAGCACTTTGAGTAGCACTTTGCTTGAAAAGCACTTTATAAATAAAATCTGATTGATTGATTGATTGATAATCCATTGTCCCAAAGTCAAAACAAACTAATTCCTGACTCTTTTAGTCGTCTTTTGCTCCCTACAGGCTCATTAGAAGTCCTTGAGTGTTCCTTGAACCAGTGTTAGGTCCTTTAAAGCTGCTAAAGCGTATCTGCAAACAAGGTCACGTGATACCACCCCCCCCCCCCCCCCCCCAGGTTTACTTCCATGGATCTGCACCCACCAGAACCAGAAACCCAAGATGCCAGAGGAAACGAGACGGCACTAAACACCAGTCGCTGTTTTTAAGGTCCAAACGTCTTCTGTTGTCCGTGAATTCTGACGGAGTTTTTCATTTCGGGACTCTGGTAGTTTGTCCTAAAGTTGAAGTGGTAGCAGCCGGCCGTTTCTCCTTCTGTTTCTGAGTGGAGAACCTCTCAAACCAGCGGTGTTCTGTTGCTAAATTCGTGAGTGAGTGATGAGTGGAGCACGGTGAGACCGACAACAAAACGTGCTTTTGGCAAAAGTTTTTAGACAAATCCAAGAGATCCACTTTATCATTGTTTCATATTTTTTTTACATTATATCTATGACGTATTTAAGAGGCATGAAAAATGTTTGAAGCTAATTTGTTTTCCAAATTTGTCATTGTAGCTTTAAAAACCGTGTAAACAAACACTCACAGCACTCAGGCAGCATGCACTTCTCCGTTTGCTCCAGCTCCTCCGTGCATCCAGCTGGATCCGACTTCAGCATCCTCTGACGCGTCCGGACGCCACGCCCACAAGTCACGCTGCACTCGCTCCACTCCGACCAGGGCGACAGCATGCACGGGATGGTGTCTGAGAACGCACGCAGGTGCTGAATTAAACCGTGAAAGTAAAAAAAAATACATTTCAAGAGATCACGGCTCAACTCACGGCACTCTGGCATCATGCATTTATCCACCTCAGCCACTTCGCTTTTGCACATGGAGCCATCTATAGGAGGCATCTTCACCATGCGCTCTCTCCTCCTCACACCTGCACCACAGGTGACACTGCAGGGGTCCCACTCCCCCCACTCTGTCACCACACAGCTGCTGGGAGCTGTGGGAGGAACAGAAACAGTATTGTGTTGAACATGGAGGTTTGTAACACACACACACACATGAAGACCGACTTTATTAGCAGCAGCTCATGCAGTTAATGCGTTTAAATAAAATAAAGAAAGGAAACAGGAAAATGTAAAGGTTGAGCATCTTTAGTGTTTTTTGTGAATTATTTTCATTTCCGTTGTGTGTGATGACTAATGGGATTTTAACTGGTTTAGAAGCTTTAACTGGTAAAACGTGGTTTGATGGAATGATGTTTCTGGAAATTCTTCGGACAATGAAACCTAAAAGAATAATAATGTCAGAAAAATGAAATTATTAGAAATTATTACAGT